CAGAGAATCGCATGTCCTCCACACCAGTGCGGACTCCGGGGGGATCCACCATGATGAAGGCAGGTAGGTTAGCCCCTCCTCCGCACCCTGGTCTGGCAGGGTGGGGTTCTCCCAGACCTCAGTACCCATCTGCTTGGCTGCAGCACACCCACCCACTGGCCAGCATGGGGGCTCTAACCCAGTGCCCAGCGGCTTCCATTCCTAACCTCAGCACACAGGCTGGACTGGCTCCCACACGCCTGAACACGCTTGCGTCAGTTCCTGCCTGCTCCAGGGGTCCGTCCCAGCATCACACTGACTTCATGTGGGACCTGATGTGTTCTGTCCTGGGGGAGGGAGGGCCGCAGGAGGCCTAGAATTTCTTGCACAGGGTTCAAGTTCAGGAGGCTAGGGGCGTTTCTTAATTGAGAAGGTACCACCAGATACGGTTCCTCCTGTCCCCCCAATCTCTTCAGTCAGTGACTTTAAATGGTGCACACCCTGCCCAAGTGAGTGGGGCTGTCCTGCAAGCAGATATTTAGGTGCAGAGACGAATGATTAACTTACAATCAGTTATTCATTCAACAAATGCTTACGGAACCAGGCATGGAAGAGGGGGAGTTGGTATTCTGATTGGTGCAAGTGGCCGTCCAATTAACCTGCGGAGGAAAAGGAGGACGAGGACATTGTTTTGGGTCCCTGACCTTGCAAGGAGGGCCTCTCTGAAAAGAGTAGGACTACTCATTCTGCTGCGTGCTTACGAGTGCCCTCTGCTGGCTGCACGGAGAACAGACACTGGTCCGGCCTGGGTGGGTGGGGTGCTGTGTGGGTCAGCAGGGGACCGTTCTAGATGTTTCTGGTGGTGACTGTGATGGAGAACGAGCCAGTGGAGGTGGACAGCGGGCTACAATGGAGCCCTGTGGACCCTGTCTGGGTCAGTGTGAGGTCAGCTTGGGATACTAAGGGTGGTCGTTAGGGCTTGGCATTTTCCATAGCGCCATGAGGAGGCTTGTTGGTGGGGGACACACACGGTCAGTGCCTGCCTGGGCAAATGCTGTTCAGATTCATCTCATGGGCATGGTGGCGCTCGCTTTTAATGCCAGCACTCGGGAGGCAGAGGCAGGGGGCTCTCTGTGAGTTCGAGGCCAGAGTCTGGTGGCTCAGCAGGGCACAAGGACATGGGGTCCTGGGTGGGACGGAAGCGCGGGCTGTGGGTTCTGAGCAGAATGCTGACTTGAACCCTTAGCATTAGGAGCTGTAGAAGGTGTAGAGAGGAGAGGGTCACGACTGGGTGCTGTGCCCAGTGTCCCCAGTGTGGCTGGCATCACTGCTTGGCTCTGCTGCTATCTTTCTTCCCTGGCTTGGTCATAGCCCGGTGGGGGATGCCTGAGGGAGGAGGAGCCTTAGGGTAACCCCGTGCCTCTCCTGTCAGCCATGTACTCGGTGGAGATCACAGTGGAGAAGGACAAGGTGACCGGGGAGACCAGGGTGCTGTCCAGCACCACACTGCTCCCCCGGGACCCACTCCCTCAGGGCGTGAAAGTCTACGAGGACGAAACAAAAGGTATGAGAAGCCACGCCTCCTGCAGGGGCACCCGCAGAGCCCAGGTCGCCTTCCCAGTCCATCATTCAGAACCTGGGCAGTACGCTGGGCACTGAAATGGAACCTAGAGGCAGGTTCAACAAAGCTCAGACCTGCCACTCAGAGCCGGCGTGAGGAGGGAGCTTCTCAGAGGCCCACAGTTGCCAGCCAAGAGAAGGGAGCAGCGCTCCTGGCAGGAGCCAGTTGGCTCAAGGGCTACAGGGAAGAAGGGACCGTCGTCTGGCTGGAGGGGTACTGGGAGCTGTAGAAGAGACAGCTTCTGGATTTTTATGTGCCGGTGGTGCTGGAGACAGAAATCAGGCCTCCAGAAGGCTCGGCCAAGGCTAACAAAGCCACGCCCCCAGCCCCTCACTGGGGGATTGTAGGCTGTTCTTTCCAGCTTTCCTGACTGGCTTTCTAGGTGTTTTCCAGGACTAAGCTGTGGGGAAGTCATTTTGAAGGAACTAGGGTACATCTAATCAGGAACGATTTTAGCGGGAGCCTTAAAGTCCAACTGGTCCCCTTCTGATTTTTAAGAAATAAATACATATCCTGTATGGTTTATGAGGTTTGGTCCTTGGTGTACAATAATCCTCTCTGCTTTCAGAGCATCCCATAGCCCAGAAGAAGCTCCGCATCCCCACAAGCTTCTCCCCATCCCCACAAGCTTCTCCCCATTCGGTCCCCAACCCCCATCACTCACACACCCACTTCTGGTCTCAGGACTTCACTGTTTGGGGCATTTCCCATCATGGAGTCCCACACTATGTGGCCTTCTGTGTGAGTCTCTCAATGAAGAGTATCTGAAAGGTCCTTCCGTGCTACAGTGCATTTAGAACTCCCCTCCTTTTCACATGATACTCCGTGTGACATGTGGAGGGACCGTGCTGTGTGTCTGTGTGAGCGCACGCTGTGTCTTGGGCATGACTGTTTAAGGACGGGTGTCCGTTGCACGGTCCCACTCATGTCTCTCTCTCTGCTGCTCCACCGTCTCCTCTCTCTGGGGACCCGGAACCAGCTAGACTGGACCCTGGCTGCTTAGCAACAGCAGGGGCTCCGTTTCTTTGGAGGCTGGTGGATTCTCATCTCAAGAGCCCAGGCTCATGGGAGAGGTTTGACCCTGCCTTCTTCACCCCAGTATCACCAAGAGGCCAGCCAGACACAGTGGCTTCTCTTCCAGAGGGTGGAAAGCTGACATCTGGGGAGGGTAGCCCTGAAATTTCCTGGATTCCTGGGGCCACCCTGTCTCCTTCCCCCGCAGTCTAGGATCCAGGAGGAGTTTGCCAGGCTGAGGTCCAGGTGTGTTTTTGGGGCTGCAGTCAATTGGTCCCCTTGGTGAGGAGACACTACCCTTAGCTCACCACAACTCAGAAAGCGAGTCAGGCCTGTAGTGCACACTTGTGTCCCAGCACACAGGAAGCCGAGGCTAGAATTGCCGGGACTCACTGCAGTCCTTCCTCGGTCCCCTTGAGCACTGGGACGCCAGACGTGCACAAGAGCTGGCTGTCACAGTGGGGTCTCCTACAGTCTCCCTGCCCTGCCCTTGCAGCTCCCCAGCTGACTCTCTACGTGTGTCCCCACACAGTGGTCCATGCCGTGGATGGCATCGCTGAGAACGGAATCCAGCCGCTAAGCTCCTCCGAGGTGGAGGAACTCATTCACAAGGCCGATGAGGTCACACTGAGCGAGGCAGGGTCCACAGCCGGGCCAGCGGACCCTCGGGGACTCGCAGAGGATGCGACCAGGACCACACCGGCAAGGAGGGAGATTACAGGAGTTGCGGCTCAGCCAGGAGAGGCCACATCGGGCCCACCAGGCATCCAGCCCGGTCAGGAGCCCCCAGTAACCATGGTCTTCATGGGTTATCAGAATGTGGAAGATGAAGCAGAGACCAAGAAGGTACTGGGCCTGCAGGACACCATCAAGGCTGAGCTGCTAGTGATCGAAGATGCAGCCACCACCCCCAGGGAGCCGGCGCCGCTCAATGGCAGTGCGGCTGAGCTCCCAGACACCAAGGAAGAGAACCAGATCGGGCCCTCAGCCACTCCCAGTGATGCCCAGGATCTCGACATGAAGAAGCCTCGCTGTAGATGCTGTTCTGTCATGTGACCCGTCGGGGGCGCTCCCGCCCCCATCCCCGTCCTACGCTCCACACTCCGCCCAGCAGCCCGGCCCTCCCCGGCGCCTGCCCACCCTCACCCTCTGCCTCACGGGCCCCAGACACGTGTGTGGTCCCTATGCACCTCGAGTCGCAGATGGGGGGGTGGCTCTGTCCGTCACCACTCTCCACACCCCAAACCTCTGAGCCGTGCGTCTTCCCTTGGTGAGAGACAGGCCGACCCATCTCAGATCTGCTAAGAATGGGGACCCCCCCCCACTCCAGGTCACAGCAGGTTTACACTGGCGACCCACACACATCATGGTCTCAGCCTGGTGTCCCCTTGCCGCCCCAGGCCAGCTTGTCTGTGCCTTATTGCTACTTTTGGGGGTTCTCTGAGGGGGACCTAAAGAGAAGGTCTCCCTGACCAATGTGCCAGCGACCTAATGTGGGCAGATGGGGTGAGGCCACACTTCTTTTGAGACTCAAAGTCCTAGGGTGGAGGACAGGCACCTGTGGATTCCCCCCCCCCCCCCCCAGTAAGTAGCAGAGCTCAAAATGGGGATACCCCTTTACTGGTGATGGAAACATCACCCCCAAGATGGGGTCATTGTTGGCAAGGCCCCACATCAGCCAGTCCCTCTCCTGGGTCCCCCCCACCATGCACACACTGGGCCCTTCTTCCTGGTGCTAATTTTGGGACCCTTGGAGTCACCTCTGCCCTCTTGTCTAGTTGGCTTGGACCAGGGTCCTCGGTTTCCCACACACACCATACCCCAGCAATCAGGGGGTATGTCTGCCAGCGCTGTGGAGCCTAGCCTTTCCAGGCAGGTTTAGGTCGCCCCACACACACCTTGGGTGGGAGTAAGGGGATCCCCCATCTGCCACCTGGCTAGACAGGAGCCACGGCAGGGGATCACCCACCTGTGGGCAGGCAGCAGCAGCCACTTTAGTTCCAGAGGCGCTGCCCTGTACACAGACACTGGCGCAAGCAACCCTTTCCTCCCTCACTGGCTTCGCAGGACCACGCCTGGTCCAGGTCCCTTTCCTTGGGACTCCAGCCCGGTGTGTAGGGTGCAGGACCACCTGTGAGGCCCTGTCACTACCCGCAGCTGCAGTAGGGCACGCAGAGGCCACAGGGTCTGTGTCCTGTCCTTCCTGTGGCCTGGAGGAGAAGCGTTCTTCCCTGAGGGGTGACCCGTGGCCACGGCCATGGTCATGACATCCCTTCCTCTTCCTCCTCTGAGTCTGCCTGAGTCCCTCGAGCCCTGAGCCTCAGCTGAAGTGCCCTTGCTGCCCCCTTCTGCTTTTGACTTGTGACGAGGCCCCACCCTTCACCCCATGTTCTTGACTTTCCCAGAGAAAGAAATTAAAAAAAAAAAAAAAGAAAAGAGAAAAGAAAAAAAAGTGTGCAGAGCCAGGTTGCTGCACTTCTTGGGTTTCACCTGGGCGGGAAGGGGTGCGGCCTCCTGGTGGTGGAGCCATAAAAGCCCAGGCCCAGGCCCGGCAGGACACAGGAGAAGCCTTCTCTCCCCTGCAGCCACTGCACCCTTCAGGGTGCACCCCTCACGGTGGACCTTCCCCAGGACTCTGCGGCACTCAGACAGGTGAGGGGCAGCTGCGGGAATCCACTGAGGGCCTTGGCTTTCATATCTGCTATGTCCTTGTACTGCGAGATTGGGGTAGAGAGGTCCCCATAGACACCCCACAAGCTCTGAGCTATGTTCCGAGGAGTAGTAGAGGCCCAATTTCTTTCTTTCTCTGTGGTCTTGGAAAAATTTTTCTCCTTTGGCCTCAGTTTCCCTATCTGTATAGAAGAGCTGGCTAGGAGCCCTGTGTTCCCAGCACACTGGGTATCCCAGGCTTGAATAAAAAGTCTGTAACCCAAGCTGGCCTCAAACTCGCAGCTATCCTCGTGCTTCGGTTTCCTGAGTGAGTACCAAGATGTCAGGTGTGTGGGTTCAATCTGGGGGCCCTTTGGGACTCAATTTCCCTGTGGGAGTGTCCAAAATGTGGGGAGAGAGTTATGAATTCAGATCCTGCCTGACCTGTGGGATTGGATGTGCCCACTTCTGCTCACAGCTATAAAGAGGTCCAGATGGACCCTGGGAGAAGCTGATGTACCCCACAGCCTGGCTTTGACCCTCTCGGCAGTGGAATGTGGTTGGTGGGCTCTGTTCCCACATCTGCCAAGTCCCCTTGGAGCTGGGGGTGGACCACAGCCTGGAGGGAAGAAAGGACAGAAAATCAGAGGGGCCCCTCAAGCCAGCCCTGGGGGGGGGGGATGTCGGGAATCCCAGCCACTTGGACCCAGAGGGCAATGGTGGGTGTCTTGGCCTCATTGTACTGGGATGTAAACCTCGCCTCTCTGGCCAGTGTTCCTGGGCGTTTTATTTGTTTTTGAGTTTTGGAGACAGGTCTCACTGTGTAGCCAGGGCTGACCTCAAACTAATAGCAATCCCACAGCCTCAGCCTTCTGAGTTCTGGGATGACAGGCCTGTTTCTCCATATGAGGTTTCTCTGGGCATCATGTGAACTTTCGTGTGTATGTGACCTGGAGAATTCCCATTTCCTGAATGAGAAAATAAGGCTCAGACGGTTGGCTAGGATCCAATCCAAAGCCCCGCCGACCCCTCCCAGAGAACAGCGACCTGAGACCTTCACCCCGAGTTTCGTAATTCCAGCCACTATGCATGCGAGGTTGGAGACATCCACATGAGTCCTTGAGTCTCGCTCGATCAAAGGGGCATTGGCTGGAAGAGATCGACATTCAAAGGGATCCCACGAGCTAGCCCAGGCTTGGGATTCGGTCTCTCCATTCCACGGGAGCAACAGGCGTTTGTGCAATCTCAGGCAGGAGTAGCCCCCATTCGCAAAAGTGGGAGGGTGGGGATGCCGGGCAGACACGGTTCCGGCTCTGTGGGCCAAGGCCCGCAGCGGGCACCGTGCCAGCCCTCGTAGGCCTGAGTATCGTTTTTCTGTCTTCTCTGGACTTTGTTTCCCATGTCCGGGTGGGGACGGGGAGGAGGTGCACACCTGCTCCTGGGTGGGGCCTCCGTCCCCTTGGCAACATGTGGCCAGGGCAGAGCCCAGGGGCCTCCCTGCAGAGGACAGAGCCTGAGGCCAGGAGGCAGCCTGGGCACCTGGAGCTGGCAGGGAGGCTGGAATGGGGAGATGAAGAACCTGTTTGCGGTGTGCCTATTGGCAGTGTTGAGCCTACAGGGAGTCGTCCTCCCACCCCACCCCCGGTCTGTACCTCCAACAGCCTTGGCCCTGGCTGGGGCCCCACATTGTCCTCCTGGATCTGAGAACTTGCTATTACCCGCTAACTCGAAATAATTCCTGGGCCTATGTGGATAGGACTTTTATCTGCACCCCAGAAGTCAGAATCCCAAGCCCTAGACCACTGAGAAAGAGACGGAAACCACAGATGCTGTCATAGGCAGAGGTCTGTAAACCCATGGGTTTGGTGCTGCTCAGACTCAGGCTAACCCAGGGGTAGCTCAGGGATCAGCCTTGGACTGGTTTCCCCAGGGCCAGCTATCTAGGCAACAAGGAGGCCCTGAGGAGCAGGACAGACAGAGGACTCCTAAGGACACCACCCTACTAGATGACCTGCTGGCCCCACCAAGGCACCTTTGCCCTGCGGGTAGGAAGCCAGAGCAAGCAGGTGTGCCCGCAGGGACCATAAACTCAGTTTCTATAGGGAGCCACAGTTCCAGGGTGGGGCTGGGTAGAGCAGGCTTCCTGGAGGAGGAGGTCCTAGCTGGGAAAGAACGGGCTCCATCACCATTAGGGGAACTTGTAACTCCACCTCTCTGTGTCCCCTTGTCCTCGATGGGCAGAGCTAACAACAGACCCCTGTGGAGAGCTGAATACCTTGAAGGGGCCCTTTGTCCCCACCAGGGCTTCTACAGACTGGTTGCCAACCACCATCAAGCAGTGGCTCCTTCGGGGACCCTAAAACCCCTGCTGGATCTGGAATTTCATCTGTCAGATTTACAGTCACTGCAAGCATCTGTTGAGAGTTTGTACCAGGCACAGAGAGCTAAATTAGGATTTGTTGCTGCTGCTGCTGCTGCTGCTGCTGCTGCTGCTGCTGCTGCTGCTGCTGCTGATATTGTTTTTGGTTTTTGAAACAGGGTCTCTCTATGTAGTTCTGGTTGGCCTAGAACTCACAGAGATCCTCCTGCCTCTGAATCCCAGAGGTTAAAGGAGTAGGCTGCTAACCCAGCAGAACTCAGGTTTATAGATCCTTGGCAAGGCAGTCCTACCTGTGCAGCCCACAACAGAGAGGGGCCCAGTGGCCTTGAATCCCAACCAGGAGCTCCACCCTTTGACCTGAGTCACTGGGGAAGAATGAGGTCCCCACCCTACGGTAGGATGACACCCTTTCTCTAGAGGTCGTGACTGACTGTGCACACATTAGTCAGCACTGGGCTAGAGCATGGGAGACAGCACCCAGGTACTGCAGCGGAGTTCACCGAGTCAGTCTTTATAGGTGCTTGCCTATGAGTTAGGAATATCCACCCAGACGGAATGGAATCCTCCCATTCCCCAAGGCTCTGACAGGGAGAGCAAAGTGTGGGCGGCACAGGGGAGATTGCCCTCCACAGGAGGATTGCTGGAAATACCACTTGAGATGCCGGCTGGTGGCAGCACAAATGCCTTTAGTCCTAGCACTCGGGGAGGCAGAGGCAGGTGGAGCTGTTAGTTCAAGGCCTGCCTGGTCTACAGCTAGGGCTGTTGCACAGAGAAACCCTGTCTTGAAAAAAAACAAAGCAAAACAAAAAAGAATAGCTAGGGACAGGGCCCTGCCTAGAATCCACCAGTGAGGGTCTGGGGGCGTGGTCAGGGTGAAGCCCTGCCTAGAATCCACCAGTGAGGGTCTGGGGGCGTGGCCAGGGTGCCTCCTGGCCCCGCGCCCCCCCTAGAATCCCCAGTGAGGGGCTGGGGGCGTGGACAGTTGTACATACTTGCTGAGCTTGGTGACCCTCTGGATTGCACAGTCAGGTTGTGGCCTTGAGCATTGATTGAGGGCAGCTGCAGGCTCCAGGAAACTGAAGAAACAAAAGCAAAAGCAGGTCTGAGTGCCAGGAAAGGAGCTGCGGGAAAGGCTGAACCCTAGATACCAGGTCAGGGTGTCACCCATGGCTCTGAGCCCTACCCAGGTCCAGGGACAAAGTTCAAGACACTCCCGGTTCTTGGCTTTGTGGCACTGACGCAGGTGCTGGGAAGATGGTACCAGGTGCTCACGGGGACAGAGGTCCCAGGTGCTGGGAAGATGGTACCAGGTGCTCACGGGGACAGAGGTCCCAGGTGCTGGGAAGATGGTACCAGGTGCTCACGGGGACAGAGGTCCCAGGTGCTGGGAAGATGGTACCAGGTGCTCACGGGGACAGAGGTCCCAGGTGCTGGGAAGATGGTACCAGGTGCTCACGGGGACAGAGGTCCCAGGTGCTGGGAAGATGGTACCAGGTGCTCACGGGGACAGAGGTCCCAGGTGCTGGGAAGATGGTACCAGGTGCTCACGGGGACAGAGGTCCCAGGTGCTGGGAAGATGGTACCAGGTGCTCACGGGGACAGAGGTCCCAGGTGCTGGGAAGATGGTACCAGGTGCTGACGGGGACAGAGGTCCCAGGTGCTGGGAAGATGGTACCAGGTACTCATGGGGACAGAGGTCCCAGGTGCTGGGAAGATGGTACCAGGTACTCATGGGGACAGAGGTCCCAGGTGCTGGGAAGTGGACTTTGCTGCACTCTCTGAGCCCCAGTTTGCCCACCTGGCATCATTGGTCTCCAAGAGCCAAGTGACGGTCAAGTGCAGAGATAGCAGACACGTTTCCTTCTGGGAGTTAGTGAGGGATGGGGCGTCCTGCTAGAGGGGGCGCGGCATCCGTGCTGGGAGGCCTGCGGAGACTCCTCAGTCGCAGACTGTTTAGACAAGAGGTCAGCGGTAGCTGGGCGTGATGGCACATGCCTGTCATCCCCGTAGTCGGGTGGCTGAGGCACAAGGATTGGGACGAGTTTAACACAGTCTGCACTACAGATTGAGAGCCTGTCTCAGGAAGACTGAGTAGAGATCAGACAGGAAAATGCGTTTGTCGTCTGAAGCTTTGGGACATCTAGGAGCTCAGATGTTATGGGGCGATGCCATGTTGGGGTTGGGATGCCGGGCGGTGGCGCACGCCTTTAATCCCAGCACTCGGGAAGCAGAGGCAGGTGGATCTCTGGGAGTTCGAGGCCAGCCTGGTCTACAAGAGCTAGTTCCAGGACAGGAACAAAAAAGCTACAGAGAAACCCTGTCTCAAAAAAAAAAAAAAGTGTTGCCTGTCAGGGGTCTCCTGCAGTCCCCGGAAGCTGTCCCTGTCTCTAGATTGTCTGACCTGGTGTCCTCTCCTCTCTAAGTGAGCCTGGAGATCTCCAACTCCCGGGAGGAAGGTCACGCACACCCAGACCCCTTGAGATGGATCGTGTGACCAGATACCCCATCTTCAGCAACCCCCATTCAGCACGTGTCACCAGCTTGGTGCTGGATGAAAACACCAGCTACACCGTTGAGCTGGTGGGCGTGGGGCCCGAAGCCAGTTGGAGCCATGAAGATCTGCAGACCTGGTCCACTGAGTACCAAACCAGGCCAGATGTAAAGAGAACAGGTGTGTCCTCCACCAGGCAAGTCTTCCTCGGCCAGTCCTCTCCGAGGTCACTGTACTTGGAGGACGAAGACGAAGAGATGGAGGCATACCACCTGGATGACACCAACAGTGCCCTCCGCAGCCAACCGAGGGACCTGGATGCCGAGCGCTGGGCGGTCATCCACAGTCAGGCCATCAGGAAGGGCAGCACAGTGGCCACACTCCAGGGAGAGCCCAGGCCCACTGGCCAGCCTCGGCCCAAGTCCACTGATGAGATCTTGGTGGACACGGAACAAATTGATTTCCTGGCTGCTCGGCAGCAATTCCTGAGTTTGGAGAAAGCGAACACGAACCCCGTTCCTCGGAGCCCCACAGCCAGGGAAACCTTTGTTCAAGCCCCACCAGGGGTCAGCCAAGCCTCCAAGACCTCCACCAGGCCCCACTTAGTCAATGGCTACGCAATACCTACCGTGCCACCAGCGAAGGAGGTGACTTCAGAGAAGACTGTCCATGTCTCCCCAGCTGGGCAAACAGTAGCAGTTCATGCAGCTAACGACCCTGGCCCCTGGACCCGAGCAGAGTCTCCTGAGACCCCCAAAGAAACTCCCATCGAGAGAGAGATTAGACTGGCCCAGGAGCGTGAGGCAGAGCTGCGGGAACAGAGGGGGCTTGGGCGGGCAGCTGGACATCAGGAGCTGGTTCAGATCCCCAGTAGGCCGTTGCTCAACAAGGTGAGCCTGGCTGAGTCTCCAGTGCGCAGAGATAGGGGCCGCCCATCCCTCTATGTGCAGAGGGACATGGTGCAGGAGACACAGCGAGAAGAAGACCATCGTCGGGAGGGTCTGCAGGTGGGCAGGTCGTCCACACCCGACTGGTCCTCCCAGGACCTTCGGCCTGGACTCCAGAGAAGCCTGAGTTCTGACTCCATCCTCACCCCAGATGCCCGAGCCACTGACCCAGCTCCAGAGGCAAGAAAGGTCAACCGGATCCCACCAGATGCCTACCAGCCATATCTGGGCCCTGGGACCCCCAAACTAGATTTCTCAGCCTTTGGAGTATACAGCAAGCCAAATGGTGTCTCCACAGAGGACACCAAAGCTGTGACCTTCCAGAAGGCAACAGAATCTCCAAGGGATGTCTCAGAATATTCTAGAAGGTCTCTGAGCTCAAAACAAGAGTCCTTGAAGCCTCTGCGTGCCAATGTGGGTGTCGTGCAATTAGAGAATTTTCACCTGCGTCCACTGCAGTTCAAGGTCCCAGACGTCCCCCAGCAGGCTGAGACCTCCCATACCTGGGGCTGGGAGGTGGCCGGAGGCCCAGTGTTGAGGCTACAAAAGTCACAGTCTTCTGACCTGCTGGAAAGGGAGGTGGAGGACGTCCTGCGGAGGGAGCGAGAGGTGGCTGAAGAGCGGAGAAATGCCTTCTTCCCAGAGGTGTTCTCCCCAGGGCCGGAGCAAGAGGAGCAAGACTCCCGGAGTTCCTCCCGAGCATCTGGTAAGCGGGGTTCCAGAGGGTGGCTGTTCTGTCCTGAGGTCTCAAGGGTGGAGGAAGTAGATTCCGGAGAGAAAATGCCAACTTTGCTTTAGATTTTTTGAACGCTGTTATTGGACCAGTACAGGTTAGCAGCTGCTTATCTTATTGATGGATTGCTCCTCTTGGTTAATCACAAATTCCCTACCTTACTTCCCAGTATCCGTGACTCACTGTCTGTCTAAAGCTCTCCTGGTGTCTACTCCAGCCAGGGTGTCACAGTGGGCTGCTGTTCGTCTGTCTGCTTCCCTGTCTTTGTAAGTACTCCAGATTCTTGTCCAGAGACCTCCCTGACGACACCATCTCTGCCCCCCACAGGCATCACCGGCAGCTACGCAGTGTCAGAATCCCCAGTATTCACCCCCGTCCAACTGCATTCAGGCCTGGTGTGGAAGGTGCAGGCCCCCGAGGACACCGCTCTGGGACAGAAGACAAAAAAGGAGGTGTGGGTGAGTGGACAGAGCTGCTGCCCGCGGGGACTGGGTGTTTCTTCTAATCCCTGGGTTTCTAGTCTGAGGGGGACACAAGCAGGGGACACTTATTGTGGGGTCACTCTCAGGGTCAAAGGTCAAAGACTGATGAGGAAGAAAACAAATATCAAATGGTCATTACTACCATTTTGTTTTTGTTTTTACTTTATAAGACAGATTCTTGCTCTGCAGACCAGGCTGGCCTCAAACTCACAGAGATCGCCTGCCTCTGCTTCCCAAGTGCTGGGATTAAAGGCGTGCACCACCATGGCCCGGCCTGACACCATTATTTTCATATGTGAACCCGAGTGCCCCTGTGCATATATGAAGATTGTATGACAACCTCTGGTTTGATTTCTCATCTCCCTGACCCCACAGTCATGGGTCTGCCACACCCTGCCGGCCACATCACACCCTGCAGCCTGCAGGCTGCACAGAAACCACACCTTCAGGTCTTGGCATCAATCCTTCATGGCTACTGAGCTCACAAAACCAGTCTAATTTCAAGATGGGTGGTGGCAGCGCTCACCTTTAATCCCAGCACTCAGGAGGCAGAGGCAGGCGGATCTCTGTGAATTTGAGGACAGTCTGGTCTACAAGAGCTAGTTCCAGGACAGGCTCCAAAGCTACAGAGAAACCTTGTCTGAAAACCAGAAAAAGAAAAAGAAAAGAAAAACAAACAAACAAAAAAACCCTAAGTCTGATTTCAAGTGTAGGTACCAGGTACCTGGGCCGTGCTGGGAGGGTCCAAAGGACATCACAGAGAACGGCACATGTCTGACCCTACCAACCTGGTCTCACAGCCTGACCCCATTGTACATGGAAACAGATGGCGGGAGACTCTGGGAGAGCGCCACAAGCTGGGCTTCCAGCTCTGAAGGGATGATTTGCCTGTGAGAGGACTTTCAGGCAGGCGCAGGGGCTGGGCAGCAAGGATGAACACTGATTCTTGTTCCTTTCATGCAGTATGCCGGAATCAACTCCTCGGACCGCGTCAACTCAGAGGTGAGTGAGCTCCAGAGGAAAAGGTCGCGGTCTGTCCCTTCCTGTCAGCACCTCTACCATAGCACTGGTCACTCAGGACCGCTACTTTGCTGACAATCTGCTCTGTTGATGGAGTCTGCCTGGGATAGATTGTGCTGTGATCTACTTGTGATGCCTGCCATGGGTACAGATTATGGATAAAGATCTGAGTGAGGTTTTGGTGGGGGGGGTTGTTGTTGTTGATTTTTTTTTACCAGAAGACAAAGATTTCAACAGGAAGAGCTGCAAATGAGAAATTATTGTTGTTGTTATTATTATTATTATTATTGATAGTCTCACTATGTAGCAAACTAAGCTGGCCTCAAACTCACACTCTTCCTTCCTCAGCCTCAGCCTCCTGCGTGCTGAAATTATAGACGTGACCCTTTCTAGGCTGAGGCTGGTTTGACTTCTTTGCTGTGGAAGTCAACAGAAGTCTATGTCCCTTTGCTTGAAGAAGACGGTGTGAAACAGAGGAGGGGAGGGTCTCACCTCGCTCTGCGCCAGACCATCCTGCATGTCGTCAATGGGGAGGCAGCTGGGGCGGCTCATATGTCCACACCTCTCTGTGTGCAGGTCCTGGGAGCCACGCGAGTAACAAGACACAAGAGCCTCTTGGCAGAGCGCTGGGAAGCAGGCATCTATGCCAGCGAGGATGAAGACTAAGCCTGGAACGAAGGACGTCTACTCCCCTTTGTCCAACCCCAGCCCCATAGAAGCTGCCAGACCCGCCCCAGCCTCTGCAGCCACGCCTGGCCCAAGCTGATGTTTGTGGCCCGAACACTGGTTCTGTTTTCCTGGGGTGGGGAGTACTTCCTACGTGGGGGTGGTTCTCAGATGGGGCTAAATGATAATTCTGCCGGCTCTTTGCCGAATGCTCTGGTCCATGGGTAGGATCAGGCTGCCTGCCATGGGATGTAATGCCCTGGAAACTGTGGGTCCAGGGCTCCCCTCTTACAGCCCACAGCCTCTCTGCAAGGTGCGCCAGTGCTGAGCAGAGCCCAGATCCACCACCCGACAGAAAGAGGCTTGATCTAGGGACCTGCCACTGCAGTCTGGCCAACCCTGCACGTGTCTGTGTTGCTACTAATAAACTTCCAGGCTGCCTGCCTGGAGTAGAGAATGCACTCTGTGTAGACCCCCTCCCACCCCCTTCCACCCACTCTCCTCCCCACCCTCCAGCCAGCCCCGTTCTTTCTGGGGACATCAGTCCTGTCCCTCCCAGGACGTGAATTCCAATCAGGCTCAGGTCCTGGGAGTTTGTTTATGAGAAGCTGGGATGCTAACGTAGCGGAGCAGACAAGGCCGTGTTCACAGAAAATCTAATAGGGTGGACCCCAACACCTGCAAAACATGGGGTGCTGTGCTAGTCAGGACTCTCTAGAGCAACGTCTTAGAAAGTGAATATTCAGGGGCTGGAGAGATGACTCAGTGATTAAGAGCACTGACTGCTCTTCCAGAGGTCCTGAGTTCAATTCCCAGCAACCATATGGTGGCTCACAGCCATCTATAATGAGACCTGGCACCCCCTTCTGGCTTGCGGGCACATATGGAAGGAATGCTGTATACACATAATAAATAAATAAATATTAAAAAAAAAGAAAGTGAATATTCATACAGCTGTGAACAGAGTCCAAGAGTCCAGCGGTTGTTCAGCCCATGAGGCTGGGGGTCTCAGCTGCTCTTCAGTACGGTCTGGGACCCCAAATAGACTCGAATTCCAGAGGAATGGACGTGCCAGCAAGGTGAAGGGAGAGTGCTTCCTTCTGCCGCGCCCCTATATAGGCTGCCAGCGAAGGTATGGTTAAAGTCTGCTCCCTACCTCAAAGGTCTAGAAAAGGATCTTCAAAACAAGCCCCCCAAAATCTCTCACAGGTGTGCCCTCCATTCTGGGATCATTGTCCATTCCAGATATAATCAGGTTGACAATCGAGAGCGGCCATGGCAGGTGCCGTGGCCAAGTCCCCTCTGCAGTGGACAAGCTGTGTAACCTTTCCAGGTGGCCCTAAGAGATACCGCAGCTGGACAGTGAGAGTGGGGCTCCCCAAGCCCTGCTAGGAGCAGCTGGAGACAGACTCTGTCAGCCCTGCTTGGTCCCTGAACCTTGCTGCAGATGTTGGGAGATCTATATCCTGAGGTTCCCACATGAGGTTCATGGCAGATGCGGGCACTGGAAGTAGCTCAGACCGAGACTGCGGAGTCCTGTGTGGGTGACGGGGCACAGCATCTGGGCAGAGGCAAACCCGAGGGAGCAGGTCAGCCTCTTCCCCGCTCTCCGGTTCAGCAGCATGGTGCTTGCTGTCTCTGCCTCTGACCCTCCCATCTCCTCTGAGTAACCTGTGGGGACCTGAGCTGAGAATGATTCCGGATAATCCCATGACCAGGCCTTCAGTTTGAGCTCATCTGCAGGTCCCTTCTACCGCAGCAGGTGACAGGGCCTCCGCACCCAGGACTTCCGTGGTGGAAGTTCTGGAGTTTTCCTAGGGTGTGTGGATACCCTCTTCTTCCTCAATCAACCATCGCCTTCACTTTGATTCCCTGAGATGGGCTGAGAGGTAGTTCCGTGTACAGAGTTCCTTCCACACAAGCATGTGGTCGCATGTGTGGATGCCCAGCCCCATGCAAATGCTCATCTGTCATCCTCACACAAAGGAGCCGGGCCAGCTGGCCAGCTAGACTAGTCAGATCCATGAACTTAGGCAAGGAGGAGAGCCGTGAGGAAGGACATTCTGGTGTCAGTCTCCGGCCTCCACATGTGCACCACACTCATGGGAAGGTCAGGGCAGGCTGGAGAGATGGCTCAGAGGTTAAGAGCATTGCCTGCTCTTCCAAAGGTCCTGAGTTCAATTCCCAGCAACCACATGGTGGCTCACAACCATCTGTAATGGGGTCTGGTGCCCTCTTCTGGCCTGCAGGCATATACACAGACAGACTATTGTATACATAATAAATAAATATTTAAAAAAAAAACTACAGAGAAACCCTGTCTCGAAAAAACAAAAACAAAACCGCCTCACACAGCCTTTTACAGACGCTGACCACAGGGCACACAGGACAGGGCCACCTGCCAGCCTGCAGCCCAGGGGAGAGTGTCCCCAGCCCACATCCTCTGCCTCTCACCTCTGCATCTCTCGCTGACTCCCAGTCTTGTGCCTCTTCTTGATCTCCACCCCAGCCCTGGGACATCCTCACACCACCATCCACACATGACTGAACCCTCCTCCTAGGTTCTTGTGCTTCTCCTGCAGGGCCACAGAGACCCAGTCACAAACAGGAAACTGAGGACTCGAGGCCCTGGTGTCCTCGGGTGCAAACCTGGGTCTTAGGGCCGTCTGAGGCTGGGCTGTTCTCTCCCCTCCAGTTATGAGCAAAGCCCGTGCAATGCCATGTTGTATCTACTAATTCCAGAAAAATCCATCGACGCCAAAAGGAGCCCTAATCCCAAGAGCATCAAGTGTAGCCCGCCTTATGTACCAGGTGAACGCATGCCATCTGCGGCTATCACTTCCCTGAATCTCCTTAATCTAATATTTCCACAGGAGTCCACCGAGTGCTTAAACAGCCTCGGGTATCTATCATTTGGCAGTTGTTCCTGTAAGGATGTATTAGGCTGGTTGTTTGAAAACCTTAGGCTGTTCCTCTCTAACCCTGTATCACAATGCTGAGATTGGTTCTCCTTTAAATTCCTCTGTCCAAAGCTGGGCTGCGGTGGTGCACGCCTTTCATCCCAGCACTCACGAGGCAGAGACAGGTGAGTTCAAGGCCTGTCCGGGACAGGCTCTAAAACTACAGAGAAACCCTGTCTGGATCTGAACATCTCTGTGATCTGTTTTATTAAGTTTTTCTAAAGCCTGTATGTCGGCACTCATATCAACCAACTTTATTAGAGATAAACCAAGAATAAAGATTATCAAAATGATAATTTAAATGTCAGTCCCGGTTATCCCTTCATCTGATTGCCCCATTTTTAGATCACACACTGTATAGCCATACAGAGACCTCTCTCCATCGTAATAGTGTTTCCCATTTTATATCTTGGAAAAACCTCTATTTTTTAACTAATTCCTAGCTTTTAGAATTCCCAATTTTCTCCCCAAATCTGCCGAAGATGACGATGAAGCATGAGATTCGCTGCTGCTGCATAGCACAGAAGAAGCCTGCCGGCTTTCAAGGCCGCTACCTAGCTTGACAACAGCCCAAGGAGGGGGTCCAGGGAGAGTCTACACCCACCAGGAGGAAGGAAAGGAAAACCTAGGTGGCAGGGTGATGATTCCAGCTGCATAGCTCCAGCCCACTGCAAAGCCACAGGCAAGCAGTTTCCTTAGGAACTCACGCCCCATGTTGGGTTCCAGATGTAGCGAGAATCTAATTGGTCTTAATAATAAAAATCAGAATTAGGGGGTGAAAGCTGAAAGATCAGAGAAGTGAAACACCCAGTCACTAGTTCTCACCTCTATGAAATCCTCAGACTGAAAGGGGTATCCTGTCTCTACAAGTCCTCATACTGAATGCCTGGAGCTCCTGTCTCCTCCCACTTTATATTCCTCTCTCTCTGCCCAGCCATACCCCTTCCTATCTACACCTCCCTGTGTTGGGATTAAAGGTGTGTGACTCCCAAGTACTGGGATTAAAAGTGTGAGCCACCACCGCCTGTCTCTGTGTCTCTGAGATTTAATCAATCTAGTATAGGCCAGGGTGGCCTTGAACTCCCAGAGATCCCTCTACCTCTGCCCCCATCCAGTGCTGGGGTTAAAGGTGTGCGCCACCACTGCCTGGCCTCCATGGCTATCTAGTGGCTCTCTCTACACTCTGATCCTCAGGCCAGCTTCATTTGTTACACCACAAACAAAACATCACCAGACCAGGGCCAACCAGGTCCCAATCACGACATGGAGACTTGTTATTAGTTATGAATGTCCGGCCTAGCTTAGGCACGGTTCTGGCTAGCTCCTTTAACTTAAATTAACCTGAATCTTTATCTTCCTCTTTCCTTGGGGCTTTCTCCTTTCTTACTTAGGAATGCCCAGTCTTAACTTGGTTTATTTCTAGCCACCTTTTCTAACTTAAATTAAGTTGACCTGTCTTCCTGTCTTCTACTACACCTTGCCTCTGGGCTTTTTGCCTTTCTTTATTCTATATATCTTTCTTGCTTCTTATTCCGAGGCTGGCTGCGTGGCGGGTCCCTGGTGTCCTCCTCTCTGTTTCTCGCTCCCCCCTCTTCTTCACTGGAACCCAGATTTATTCTCTCTGCCTAGCAGCCCCACCTATCCTTCTCCTGTCTAGCCATTGGCCATTCAGCTCTTTAATAGACCAATCAGGTGTTTTAGACAGGCAAAGGAACACAGTTTTGCAGAGTTAAACAAATGCAACATAAAAGAATACAACACATCTTTACATCTCGTTTAACAAATGTACCACTCATAAACAAACGTAACACACCTTTTTTTTTCTTTCCAGACAGGGTTTCCCTGTGTAACAGACCTGGCTGTCCTGAACTTCCTTCTGGCCTCAAACTATACAGAGATCCGCCTGCCTCTGCCTCTGCCTCCCGAGTGCTGGGATTAAATGTGGTGGCATTCTGTTCTTTTTTTTTTTTAATATTTTTATGGTTTATTTAACTTTATTTTTTTTATGTGCATTGGTGTAAAGGTGTCAGATCCCTGTGAGCTGCCATGTGGGTACGGGGAATTGAACCCGGGTCCTCTGGAAGAGCAGTCAGTGCTCTTTTTTAAAAAAATATTTATTTATTTATTTATTATGTATACAATATTCTGTCTGCATGTGTGTTT